GTGCAGCAGCAGCGGAGCTGGGGGAGGGGAGAGGGGAAGTTGCTTTGGTCCCCGTGGTTCAGGGAGCCAGGAAAGTTGGAGCCCAGGGAGGAGGCGTCTGCGCGCTTGGATGCCGCCCGCCGTCTCTGTCCCCCTCAGATCACCAGAACCCGGCGTTGGCTCCTGCCCTGGGAGCGGCAGCAGGAGGCGGCACAGGACTAGGAGGGATGCTTCTGTGGACCGTGGCCACCAGGCAGAGTGGGGTTCCCGGGAAATGTTCCTGACCATCACAGTCTGGCTGGCTTGGCAGGAAATGTTCACAGCGCCGACCTGAACCTGGGAGTTGTAAGTTGCAGCCACTCGGGGTCCCCTTCCCCACATGTTGCATGGGCCAAGCCTCCACAGCTCAAAAAACCACTTGGACTTTCTAGTTGTATTTCCCTGTATGGATTAACCTGGGATTTCTATGAGAAAACAACCTATTTAAAAAGTTACATGATTAAATACTTGATACTTGCATTAACCTAACTTTCAAAAATATGCCCCAACTTTTTTTATTTGGAGTGTTTAAATTAAGAAAACAATTCCAGTTGCAATGATGTATCCTGCTCTTTAAACTGTTCAGAAAGCCACACCATACAAAGAAATTGATGTAGCTAACATTTAAAAAGTAATTCAACTGATTATAAAACACAGCCACAAAACTAGGAAAATCATGCCAAGACAGAGGGTCCTGTGGCATCTTTAAGACTAACAGAAGTATTGGAGCATAAGCTTTTGTGGGTAAAAACCTCACTTCTTCAGATGCAAGTAATGGAAATTTCCAGAGGCAGGTATAAATCAGTATGGAGATAACGAGGTTAGTTCAATTAGGGAGGGTGAGGTGCTCTGCTAGCAGTTGAGGTGTGAACACCAAGGGAGGAGAAACTGTTTCTGTAGTTGGATAGCCATTCACAGTCTTTGTTTAATCCTGATCTGATGGTGTCAAATTTGCAAATGAACTGGAGCTCAGCAGTTTCTCTTTGGAGTCTGGTCCTGAAGTTTTTTTTGCTGTAAGATGGCTACCTTTACATCTGCTATTGTATGGCTAGGGAGGTTGAAGTGTTCTCCTACAGGTTTTTGTATATTGCCATTCCTGATATCTGACTTGTGTCCATTTATCCTCTTGCGTAGTGACTGTCCAGTTTGGCCAAGGTACATAGCAGAGGGGCATTGCTGGCACATGATGGCATATATAACATTGGTGGACGTGCAAGTGAATGAGCCGGTGATGTTGTAGCTGATCTGGTTAGGTCCTGTGATGGTGTTGCTGGTGTAGATATGTGGGCAGAGTTGGCATCGAGGTTTATTGCATGGGTTGGTTCCTGAGTTAGAGTTGTTATGGTGCGGTGCGTGGTTGCTGGTGAGAATATGCTTAAGGTTGGTGGGTT